TGGCAACTGCAGAGAAATAGGCGGTAAAGGAGGCATGGGACACACTCAGAGAGATGCAAGTCGGTGAAGATCGCGTTAAGAAGGCACGCGTACATGTGTTGAAACGATGTGCTGAAACGACAACTGAATAAGTTACACATGGAGGATTCAAAGACAATAAACAAAATATTCATGAAGCTTACCACGCTTGTGGGTGAGATCCGCTCGCTGGGAACGAAGTTCGACGACAACAAAGTTGTTGAAAAACTGTTCAGTGCAGTTCCAGATAAATTTCTCCAGATTATTTGAACAATTAAGAAGTTTGGCATACTAAGAAGATGCCGGTTTCAGAGGCGATAGGTCGTCTCAGAACCTTCGAGGAAGGGATTAAAGGGCGACTGCACTCAAAGCACAGTGGAGAACTGTTACTCCTTACCCGGGCCGAGTGGGAGGCAAGAACCCCAAATGCAAAGAGAGATGAAGGTTCCTACAACAACAAAATAGGAGGGCATCACGGGAGAGGACGTGGTCGTGGGTGTGGATATGGTGGAGGTTAAGGAAATGGTGAACGTAATAACGAAGACCAAAAACCACGTAACTTCGACAAATCCAGGGTTAAGTGTTTCAATGGTAATGAATATGGTCATTTTGCAAAAGAGTGTCCCAAACCAAACCGAAGAGAAAGAGCAAACCTTGTTACAACGCAAATCAAAGATGAACCAGCACTGTTGATGTCTGAAACTTGTGTTCTCAGCCACGCAATACAGAACGAGCAGATGTTACTGCATGAAGTCAAGGTGGCGCCAAAGATTAAAAACACCTGAGAGAAGGCTTGGTATCTAGATACCTGCGCAAGTAACCACATGGCCGGCTGTATCAAAAAATTTACTGAAAAAGACACGAAAATTAAAGGGTCGGTCAAATTTGGGGATGGCTCGGCTGTGGAAATCCAAGGAAGAGGTTCCATTTTGTTTGAAGGCTTCACAGGTGAACATCAGATACTTACTAATGTCTACTACATCCCGATGTTGAAGAGCAACATAATAAGCCTTGGCTAGTTAGATGAGAACAGATGCAAGGTTGAGGTTGAAGGAGGTGTTATGACTATTTTGGACATATCACAAAGGCTACTAGCAAAAGTGAACATGTCAAGCAACCAGTTATATGTGTTTAACATATCACTAACTCTACTCGAATGCCTTCTGGTAAGGAGCAAAGAAGAAGCTTGGCGATGACATGAAAGATACAGGCATGTGAATTTTCATGCTTTGAAGTTTCTAAGTCAGAAACAGTTGGCGCACGGCTTGCCCATAATCGAGCATGAGGACCGAATCTGTGATGGTTGTTTGATTGGAAAGCAACACCAAAATTCTTTTCCAGCAGCGACAAAATTTCGAGCAGAATCACCTCTTGAACTGTGGCATGGAGATTTGTGCGGTCTAATTACCCCTGCGGAGATTTGTGCGGTCTAATTACCCCTGCTACTCACGGAGGGAAGCGCTATTTCTTATTGTTGGTTGAAGATTGTACAAAATTTATGTGGTACGTGCCAATTCGAAACAAAGATGAAGCATTTGAGGCATATAAGAGGGCCAAAGTTGCAGCCGAAATGGAGAAAACAATAAGCTAAAAGCTTTGTGCACGGATCGTGGTAGCGAATTCACCTCAAATGAGTTCAAGACTTACTGTGAGTTGTTGTGAATTAAGCGTTATCTCACGACGCCTTATTCTCCTCAGCAGAATGGTGTTGTTAAACAAAGAAATCAGACGATGGTCGACATGGCAAGGAGCTTGTTGAAAAGTATGGGAGTCCCAGACGAATTTTAGGGAGAAGCGGTATCAACTGCCGTATATCTCTTAAATAGAGCACCAACAAAGAGCATTGTCGGCAAAACTCCCTATGAAGCATACTATGACCACAAGCCTAGTGTCGATCATTTTCGTATTTTTAATTGCCTTGCACATGTAAAAGTAGTTACGACGCACCATCCGAAGTTGGATGATCATAGCAAGCAAATGATGTTCATTGGTTATGATATGACTATGAACAGCATATGAAAGGCTATCGAATGTTCGATCCAGCGACAAGCCGAGTTCTGGTGACACGAGATGCAGTGTTCGAGGAGGAGGAGAAGAAGTGGGAGTGGAGCAAAACTCCAGTAATAGGTACAAGATCAGTAGGGAACACTTTTACAACACACTATTTTACCATAGCAGACACATCTGATATGACAAATCAGGAAGATAAAGTTGCAGTTAACGATTCTGGTATTGGTATCAGCAATTCTGGTATGGATTTCCCACAGTCGACACAGGAACAAATTGGTAACTGATACCAGCATGCTTCAACAGTGATGAACATGAGATCCAGAACATCTGTTTCAGATCCCGATTCATTGACACCACACACTCCAGATACAACTTTTGATGCTCTTGATGGTTCGGCCTCAACAGAAGTAGTGCAGCCCACAACATCTGATGAGAGTTCATTAGAAGAACCACAGGGTAACTGTGACATCAAAAGCCTTTACGATGAAACCTTCCCAATAGAACTAGAGTATTCGGGACTGTGTTTGTTAGGAGTTGAGGAGCCATCAACTCTCGAAGAAGCTAAGCCAGACCCGATTTGGAGAAAAGCAAAGGAGGAGGAAATTTCTTTCATTCAAAGGAATGAAACTTGGAAGCTCGTCCCATTACCCGAAGGCCACAAACCTGTAGGTTTAAAGTGGGTTTACAAGCTAAAGAAGGACACTTACGGCAAAATTGTGAAGCACGAGGCGAGATTAGTGGCAAAGGGGTACGTTCAACTACAAGGCATAAACTTTGATGAAATTTTCGCCCCCGTTGCTCGGCTAGAGACAATACATTTGTTGATCTCTATTGCGACACTTGAAGGATAGGAGGTGCATCATATGGACGTGAAGTAAACCTTCCTCAACGATGATTTGGAAGAGGAAGTGTATGTCATTCAATCATCGGGATTTTAAATAAAAGGAGAAAAGCACAAGGAGTTAAAACTGCACAAAACATTGTACGACAGGCACCTAGAGCTTAGAACTCAAAACTGGACAAGTCATTGAGGACACTCAATTTTGAGAGGTGTTCTTTAGAGCATGTCCTGTACATGAGAGATCAAGGTAAAGAGAATTTGATTGTTGGTGTCTATGTGGATGATTTAATCATCATTAGAGAGTGTATTCAAGACATAAACAAGTTCAAATCACAGATGAAGAAATTGTTTAGCGTGAGTGACCTTGTGTTACTAAGTTACTATCTGGGAATTGAAGTACGTTAGAATTCTCAAAAGGTTACACTCAACCAGTCGGCATATGCAAGAAAGGTTTTAGACAAATGCGGCATGAAATATTGCAACCCTTCGAAAATTTTGATGGAACCTCGTCTGAAACTGAGCAAGTAAAGCACAGGTCCACCTATAGCATAACTCTGTACCGAAGTATTGTTAGCAGTTTAAGATATCTACTGCACACGAGCCCAAATTTGGCATTCTCTGTCAGCATGGTGAGTAGATACATGGAGAAGCCCACAACGGAGCACATGGCCTCAGTGAAGCACATATTGCGATACGTGAAAGAAACTTTAAACCTCAGTTGCGTTTATAAGAAAAAGGAAGGAAGTTTTGAACTGAACGGTTACTCCGATAGTGATCTAGCTGGTGAAACTAATGATATGAAAAGTACCTCAGGTTTAATATTTTTTCTTAGGTCAAGTCCTATTAGTTGGTGTTCACAAAAACAGAAAGTGGTTGCGTTATCTTCCTGTGAAGCAGAGTACATCGTTGCTTGTGCAGCAGCGTGTCAAGTAATGTGGCTGGGACGAACTGTTGGCAGATTTGTTAAAGATCGAGGTTAAGAAAGTGGTTTTAAAGATCAATAATCAGTCAACAATTGCATTGAGCAAGAATTCAGTTTATCATGAGAGGAGCAAACACATCGATACCTGATTCCACTACATTAGAGATTGTGTTGAATCAGGAATAATTGAAATTCAACATGTTGTCACAGAAGATCAGCGTATTGATATTCTGACATAGTCACTTGCAAGATTGAAGTTCTTGGAGATGAGAAAGAAACTGGTGTGTGGATCGTTAGTGAGGACAACAAGCTTAAGGAGGAGATTGATGAGCTAATCTAGTTGTCTCCATGAGTTGTCTATGTATGGTTTGCACGTTATGCATGTTTTAGGCAGTTAGAATTTAGAGTTAGCGGTTATTTGAGTAAAGTCTATGTGGTTAGTTTTATTTTTAGAAAACTTGGGTTGTAATGTTCGCGGTGCAGTTATGATTTTTTATTTGCTTATATAATAAAAAAACCAGAAAATAATGTGTGTGTGAAGCATTAAAAAATTCTGTGTTTGTTTGTGTTTCAAAGTTTGCTACTGGCTTTGGAAAACCAAAAAGGTGTGGGGGGTTAAACGACTGTGATGTCAGCCAGATGATGGAATTTTGGTGGCAACATCAGCCGAGCGATGGTGATATAGTGGAGGCAGTAAAGCGGTTTTTGAAGGGCTAGGAATTCATTGGATAATAATCTATTGTGAGAAGCAAGGATAGATTCATTGCGCGTAGCAAAACCGTCACAACTCTAAGAATAACCCAACCAGTAGGCAAATTTAAATGATTTATTTTCAAAGTATACATGCCAAAACTAAAAATTCCCCAAACATAATCACAACTATCTGTAATTTTTATAAATAATCGCTACGCTATTCCTCGACTTTCTCAAATTGTAAGTATTAGAGTGTTTGAATAAATAATATTGATTGAAAATAAATGAAGACTTTTAAGAAAATAAATTATTATTACTAACCTTATGGGGTGAATTTTGGGCGAAAATAATAGATACGTTTGCTTGTATGCACGATAAATAGTAATGACGCACGAAAAAGAAAATGATGGATGCATTCATCATATATAAACTTTAGGGTAAAGATATGCAATATTTTCTCCAATTTTAGGCATATAAAATCAAAACATTAAGAAACTTGTCCGAATTCCATGCTCACAATGCTCGAAGAAAAAGAAAGCACTATTAAAACTTGTATTTTGATACGGATAAGATGATAACTTGATGGTTGGGCACTTCTTACCGAACCATATACATATATAACAACTCATGTGGATGTCAACATTCGCCGTGAACTCTTTCCAAACGCAGAGTTCATCATCATCCCCACAACATAAAAAGCAAATTAATTCAACCCGTACATCATATTTTATACAGATGACGATAATGTAAGTTAGATTTTACAATCGTTTTGATCATCCAATCTTTCACATCCATTAATAATAATAACTTATCTCCCAACTATCACTAAGCCAATTCCACCTCCTTGGTTTTGCCATACTTACCATCATCCCCCTCCAATCCCTCCAACTCGGCATCTTCTACAAAGCGCTTCCAGAACCAGTGTCGCTTCCACACCCTCTCCGTCATCTCCTCAATCGGCACATTCTTCGTCTCCGGCAAGAAGAAGAGGACAAAGACGGACATGATGACAACCCACGCTGAGAAGAAGGCGAAGATGCCGTATTTCATGTGGCAGAGCATGGAGAGGAAGGCCTGAGCGATGACGAAGGTGAAGAGGAGGTTGGTGCACACGGTGACGCTCTGCCCGGCCGACCTCGTCTCCAGCGGGAATGTCTCGCTGGGTATTAGCCAACCCAGAGGGCCCCAAGACCACGCGAATGCCGAGCACCACCGATATCACCACCTGCGAGCATGAGAGTCAGAAATCGAAGAAGAGGGATTGTACATGGACAAAATATAAAGGAAGATTTACATACATGCCACTTCATTAGTAATGCATTTACATGTTTTACACTTTAAAATTAAATTTTATACGAACGGCTTCAATGGGAGATCCGAGCAAAAATTCAAATTAATTTTTGAGCACCTAATGATCTTTGGTATAAATTTGCTAAATTTATACTTATAAGATACTGCAGTGCAGCGGTTAACAATCTGATTTTGAATCGAACTAAGGTTGGTTCGAGAGAAATTTAATTCAAAAATTTGGCTTGTAGATCGCTCATTCATTTCAATCCGATCTAAATATGAGCCAAAATTCGAATCAATTTTTGAGTGATTAAGAATGCTCAAGCTAAATTAAAAGCCCTATTTATATATATAGAAGGTTTGATTGGTATAAGTGTAAAAAAATCAAAGTTTAGGAGTTATTTTGTAAATACATAATGGTTGTATGTACATAAATGCCCCGAAAACAACTAGCGCCAAAACTTTAATTAATTAAAATTTATATTAACAAATTTTAAAACAAATATATAACAAATTAGAACTCAATTTAATAAAAAAAAATGATAATCTAATTCGACTTTTAAACAGTTACATAAAAATAACTCAATCAATTTTTTTAATTATATATGATGAATTTCAAAATGTTAAATCTTTTTTAAAATTATGTTTCCATTAATCACAGCCAGACCGTTTGGTAACTACCTGCGAGAAGAACATCTGCACCCCAGCCTCGAGCAGCAGCGCTCGCCGGCCCACCCGATCCACCGAGTAGATCGACACCAGCGTGGAAACCACGTTGACTGCGCCCGTAATGACGGCGGAGTACAGCGAGGCATCGCTCTCAAACCCGAGTGTGTTGAACAGCACCGGCGAGTAGAACATGATGGCGTTGATGCCCGTGAACTGCTGGAAAATCTGCATCGCTATGGCTATAACAAGCTGCGGTCGATTACGCCGCTGGCAGAGATTGCGGAAGGGATGCTTAACCTGGCGAGCGGCGTGGCTGGCTTGCACGATTTCGTCGAACTCTGCGTTCACGTTGTCGGTGCCACGTATGCGGCGGAGCACGGCGCGGCCTTCATCGACCCGGCCGCGCTCGATGAGGCTGTTCGGGGTGTCGACGACGAGGAGGGCGCCGACGGTGAGGAGGAGAGCGGGGATGCCGGCGAGGGCGAGGGAGAGGCGCCAACCCCATGGGTGGATTCTGCGCGAGATGTTAGAACAATGTTATTTTTTTAATGTTTAGTAGGATGAAAGAGTTGTTATGATTACATACTTGGAGGTTCCGTAGTTGATTAGATTGGCGAAGAGGATGCCGATGGTGATGTTGAGCTGGAAGAGGATGTTAAGCCCGCCGCGAATTCTGGTGGGGGCGATCTCAGATAAGAACAGGGGCACCGCCTGCATACAAATAAATAAATTTAGTGTGTTAATTAATTATATAATTAATTTTAAATTGATTCGGCATGTGACGGTTAATTAATGTGGGGGATTCATATGTGTAGGTAATTATCACAATGATATTAGATGAAGGGAGGAAATTAACAATCTTGAAGATGGACAGTACTAAACATGCTCCATGCCGATGTTTGTTTTAGAATACGAAATTACATCCCGGAGAAGAAACTAGCTTTATAAAATTCCAATATTTTATTCCAATAACACAGAAAATATGTCGAATAACACAGCCCTAAAAAGCAACACTGGAAAATATTTTAATAACACCGTAAAATAATAAAATAACACCACATAATTCTCAAATAACATTTCATTTTTTATAAAAACACCGATGAAATATTTTTATAACACAGCGGAATATTTTTATCTCTACGTTCGGAGTCATAACGTAATATACGCTGCTCTCACAGAGTCTAATTTTTTGGATAGAGAGAAAAAGAGAGTCCCAATCTCCTATAAGCGTCCTTTTATTTTTTAGAAAAAAAGAAAAATGAAATTATATTCCGGAGAAGAAACTAGCTTAAGAAATTCAATTAATCAATTGGAAAATTGCAATATGATATCCAAATTATCTCGGGAGCATTTCATGTCATCCGCTCATGGCTTAGGAGACCTTTGACCGACTTGCCCGAAGTCCTTGACTTGGATGTAATTTTTGGAAGGAAAAAGCTTTCAGATGACGTTCCAATGGAAAATGATATCAAATGCGTCTTTGACTTTCATTCTGTTTGCATATCAAAAGCCGACCAACTACATCAAACTGAGGACCCACGTGATTTCGAAGAATTTTCATTTGAAAAGTACATCAAACGCTTTTATTTTATGGTTTTTTTTTTTTTTTTTTGCAAAAATGGACAATGATTAATTGATAAAATTTTAGGAAATTTCATGAAACTTAGCCTTTAATAATATTATTATTATTAATAATTTGAATCTTTTGCAAACAAAGTTGATAATTTAACTGAATTATTTTATTTGATAATTTAACAAAGTGGATTTGTATATTTAGATGCAGTCTAGGAATTTAAAATAAATCATGTTATTAAAACTAGGATTTCATATCATTTTATTTATTTATTTTTTTCAAAATTTAAATAATGTGAATGAAGGTAGTTAATGATCCTATTTTGAGCTGTGTTGTGGTTTGCTTAAAAAAAATTTAATCCAAAATTTTTTGTGCATATCTCGGCTTGTTTATTTAGACCCGATCTCAATCAGAGGCAAAATTCGAATCAAATTTCAAGTGATAATCGATCTTCGAGCTATATTCATTAAATAGACAGCCCTAACATCACTATAGATGTTAAATATTCAAAATTTTAACTTGTAGCTCAACTTACTTATTCTGACCCGTTATCAACCCAAGCTAAAATCCTAATCAATTTTCAAACAAGTAACGATATCCGGCTGAACTCACAGCCCATTGTGAACTCATGAAGTTAGAGACGGACGAACCTGATTAGCGAAGCCGACGCCGCAACCAAGAAGAAGACGACCAACAATGAGCATGCCCAAATCCTGCGCAGCGCCATTAAAAATAACGCCACCAATGAAGAAGAAACCGGCGATGAGCATGGTGAGCCGCCGACCAAGCCGGCGTGTGGTGTAGGAGGCGAAGAAGGTGGCGGTGAGGCCGGCGAGGTACAAGGAGGATGTGAAGAGCTGCAAACCCTGGTTATCATATTTACAATAGTTGCTCTCTAACCCTTTTTCATTCTTCTTTCTATACACCTTGGGGAAGAACTTTCTCAAAAAATCATTCATTGATGTCACACCACCTGTTCATAATGCAATTTTGTTAATATATAATTATATTATATCATCTTTAATTTAAGAATTATAATATTTAGAAAGTGTGTGTGTGTATGTATATATATATATATATATATATAAAGTTTTTGTTTTCCAAAACATTGGGATGGATGAAATTGGACATCTTTCTAGAGGCGACAACGATGATGTTTTTGTTTGGAAGTCATGCTTGATTTAATGTTTTCATTATATCAATCTAAAGTTTTCATTATTGACTTTAAACCGCATGGTCTAAAGTAAGGAAAAAAGACACTTGTGATATGTTTTTATCATGTATAAAATACATTAATGTGTATATCAAAAATCATTAAGGGCCAAATTAAAGTTCGCACTCAACAGACATCATGGGCTTGGGTTAGCCTAACTATCCATAAGACATGATTTTTTTGTCGATATGATCCGTTTTTGGGACATGCCAACCCAATTCGTAAGTGTGCATGTTGTCTTGCACTTGCTTGTGAGCTAACATGACTAACTGTCTTGGCGAATTAGTTTGCCGAACTAGCTAATTAACCTTTCAACATGATGAGTTCACAAACCAGACTTACTAGTCTACCTCAAATTCTTAACAATCCTCATAATTATAAGAACGTAGAAGTGAAGACTGGCACTAAGGATTGTCATATGCCAAATTATATTTATGAGCCGCCTGACACTCAGGGTAAAATCTTTTTATCAAATATTTAATTTATGATTGTTGCAATTAGTTTAAAGCTTTTTACATAATAATTTATTCTCCACTAACTATGTGCATAAGGAAACAAATATCAATTTCCTATGAATACCCATAACTTAATTAGTCTTATCTAGTTTTATTTTTTCTATGATTTATAAGCCTTTTTTCATATAAAATTTGTATTTACATTACTATTATTTTGTCCCTCTGAACCATACATATGAAAGAAATTAACACATTAAGCTTATAATATTAATGCTAATTTCAAATAAAAATATTTTTCTATGATTTATGCTTATTTTTATGCTTAAAATTAATAAAAAAATGAAAAAAAAATATATATAGGATTTAAGATTAACATACATGCTGAAAATTTCTATGTGTTTTCGTATCAAACGCCTAAACTTTAATAATAATTATAATTTTGATGTGATAAGAAAGATTTAAGTATCAAAAATATAAAAATCAAAGTATAAAATCTAAATATGTCAATTTATGAGAAATGAGTGGTATGCATGTAAATTTGCTTCTCCGCCCTTTTGCCTACGACCCCGAAAAATTATTTCATACGGACACTGCATGCAGAGTTGCAGATCTACACCGTCGATCAAATTTTTTTTTTTAAAAAAAAAGTAAAAAACGGGATCATCTGAAATACATCTTTCCGGTAATCGACGGTGTAGATCGGACATCACAAGCATATATACATACCGTGTCCGTATGGAATAATTTTTACCGAGTCGCCTGG